AAATTTTTTTAATTATCCCCCTTTGTTTATTTTACACTTTGAAGTTTGTCCGGGACATAACTCTAAAAGTATAAGAGGTATTAACATGAAACTGTGTAGGTAGATAGAGCTCATTGAGTAGGTGTGCAGTGCACAAGAACCGTAACTCTGCCTTGCCTAATTTTTGAATTATCCCCCTTTGTTTATTTTACACTTTGAACTTTGTCCAGGACATAACTCTAAAACTATAATAGGTATCAACATGAAACTTTGTAGGTAGATAGATCTCATTGAGTAGGTGTGCAGTGAACAAGAACTGTAACTCTGCCTTGCCTAATTTTTGAATTATCCCCCTTTGTTTATTTTTACACTTTGAACTTTGTCTGGGACTTTACTCTAAATGTATAAGAGATATCAACATGAAACTTTGTAGGTAGATAGATCTCATTGAGTAAGTTTGCAGTGCACAAGAACTGTAACACTGTCTTGCCTACTTTTGGAGTTATTGCCCTTTGTTCATTTTGACACTTTGAACTTTGTCCGGGACATTACTCTAAAATTATAAGAGATATCAACATGAAACTTTGTAGATAGATAGGTCTCATTGGGTGGAAGTGCAGTGCTTAAGAATCATTACTCTGCCTTGCCTTATTTTGAAGTAATTGCCCTTTGTTTATTTTTACTTTTGACTTTTGTCCGTGACATAACTTTAAAACTATTAGAGATATCAACATGAAACTTTGTAGGTAGCTAGATATAATTTGATAGAACTGCAATGCTTAAAGAACCTAAACAAAGCCTGGTCTAATTTTGGAGTTATTGCCCTTTGTACATTTTTACACTTTGAATTTTACCCGGGACATAACTCTGATATCATCAGGAAACTTTATAGATAGATAGATCTCATTGAATAGAAGTGCAGTGCAAAAAAACATAACTCCGCTTTGCCTTATTTTGGAGTTTTTTGCCCTTTGTTCATTTTTTTTATACTTTCCTGTGTCCAGAACCTTCTCGGGGAGCATCACCCGGTTCAACCGGTTCTTGTTGGAAAATGGTTGAACTGATGTCCGTTACCCCTGCCTAACAATTTTATTTGCTTAACAGCCATAAATTTGATATATATATAGATTGTTTTTCTTAACCTCTTTTTTTCTCATTCTTTAGATGGTTAAAGGTTGTTCTCATTCTTCAGATGGGTCTATTAAAAGGGACCCGTTCCCAAACATTAAAAATGCCTATTTTTCCAAAAATGTCAGTAATATTTCCAAGTTCACAATAACTCAAGTTTGCATTTGTCAAGACTTCTATTTCCCAAATCTAATTTATGGTTAAATAAATTCCCAATAGGATAACACAGACCTTTTCCCAATTAAAATGCAACATATTTTCCTCTTTCATTTGAAGGCTAGAAACATCTTCACAACAGTTTGGTTTTAAGTTGGATAATTGAATATTTGTAGGACCGAAAGGAAGAGGGGCACCTATAAGTAAATTACAGCTGATGAAACCAAGTAGACTACAAAGACCATGTACTGCACAGACAAAAAATGGAGACAGTACAAAAAAGAATGGACCAATAAAAGCCTTTGTTCCTGCACAAACACAGGAATCTGAAAAAGGTTTTAAAAATTATATTCATTTTCATAGGTTTTAAGATATTGTTATATATGCTTCTAAAGATCTAGGTATGAGGAATTGTAACATCCTGAATGTGTAGTTTTGCCAAAATATTTATAGTATTAATTAATATATGGTTCCTGTCAGTGGAAGTATGAATGAGACTGTATTGATAAAAAAAAAAATCAGATTGTTTTCATGTCCTCACCATTTCTATGAGGGAAAAATTACCCTTGTCCTGCTGTCTGTACTTAGTCTGGCTGATAAACTTACAAAATGATACAAGTTGATGAAAGGAATTATATCTGGAACTTATTATATGATATTATATTTCAGTTGTTTCCTTTTTAAAGCACATGTTTGAGTTTCATGTATCTATCAGTTAATTTATATTGAACATACAATGGTTTGGAGTAATCATTTCTAACAATCATGTTTTACAGTTCTTGAAGAGAGCACACAGCCAAGGTGGATAAAAAAGTTCTCCCTGTCAAAAATTTGTCATCTAGTTTTCTCAACACCAAATAAAAGTAGCGGTATGTTGTATTTAAACTTAGCTTTCTAGAGCAGGCAGGTTTACAACAGACTGTACTGTTTGAAGTTTATATTAACAAGTTGTTTGCTAGTTAAGTCCTTATTTATTAGTATTCAGTGTTCAGTATTCAAAGTAAGGTAAGTTATTATGTTCAAAGTAAGTTATTATGTTTAACAGGGTGAAGCTTGAATTAAATCTTTGCCAAGGACTAGTGTGTATGCTGTGCCATAGACTAAATAAGTTATATCTAGGACAACAGTCTCACAGTCTGTATGTTTTGCCATGGACAATAGTGTGTGTATTGTCGCTGACAAGTGTGTATGTTATATCATGGAATACAGTGATAGAAGTATTTGGACAAATTATTTCCCTGTCTTTATGCATTACAGACTTTAATAAATAATATCACTCTTCTGAAAAAGTTGATGTAGGATTGTATTGCAGAAATTATTCATATCAGATTTAGTATACTTGAGTAAGTATATGTTGTTATATTGACTGTTGTTTTTTAGGAGTACAAGCAGTATGGACTCACCTGTGTCATTAGTGAAGAAACGGCGGTCATTTCTCCCTACACCCACCAAGTCAAGTGTAGGATCCAGTGGTTCTTTTGCTTCACCTTGGTTAGTAATTACAACCTTTGTTTAAACATACTTAAAAGTGTCTGCTTCCTGAAACTAACCAGTACTGATGTCATATATTGGAATATGTTAATACCCTGAATAGGGCTTGAACCTATGATCTGCAAGTAAAGACAAACACATTTTACGCTAGCCACGGGTCACCTTAAACACTGTTATTCATCCTCTATTGTTTATCTGAAGAAATTGTCATTTACAGATCATATAGGTTAATACTATTACACAATCTAACAACCTTCTTGTTAAATGATTGTCCTACTGTATACAACTATAAAAACTATTAAATTGGCACTTCAGCAAAATATAATAAAACATAATGACCAGAAAAGATTTTCTCATGTCAATGAAAATTATAATGATAAATGTTTTGGCATTATATAACGGTATTTTAGTATTCATATACTTGATAAGAAAGGTTTCAATCACAAGAAAGACATATTTGACTTAATTGTTTTCATCCTTGATATCATACAATCATATCATAATGTTGAATTATATTATTATATAAAAAAAAATCTTTGAAGTGATGATGTATGTAAATTATTTACAACAACTGACACAAGTAAAGAAAACCAGTGTATGTGTAAAGTTTTTGTGATGAGAGAGTTATATATTTTTTCAGCCCGTCAAGAACCAGCAGTACATCTTCACAGAAATCACTTGATTCACCATTTACTAGAAGCTCATCGGTCGGAACCCGTAGTGCTATAAAGGTTTGAATCACACTACAATTTCTGTATTAATAAATAAAATGAGCCGCGCCATGACAAAACCAACATAGTGCGTTTGCGACCAGCATGGATCCAGACCAGCCTGCACATCCGCGCAGTCTGATCAGGATCCATGCTGTTTGCTATCAGTTTCTCTACTTCAAATAGGGATGGTAAGCGAACAGCATGGATCCTGATTAGACTATGTGGATGCGCAGGCTGGTCTTGATCCATGCTGGTTGCAAACCCATTATGTTGGTTTTGTCATGACACGGCTCAAATGTTTATTAGATATCTCTGCAGCTTGATAACTAGATATATAGATACGTATGTTTATTGTCAGTTACCGTAACAAGCAATTTGCTAAAGAAAATTTTGTATACATAAGCTATTTGAAAAAAATCAACATTTTAGGTGTGACGTCTAGACTTAAAATGTGTGGAATTCGTTTTCCTCATTATTGAAAGTCCACAGAAAGTAGTGGTAGTTAAAAAGAAGTATACATGTTGATATTTTTGTTTTTAGGGTGGCAGGGGTCTACATGGAGATTCATGTCTATATGATAAAAAAAATAGGACTTAAAAAATGTTACGATTCTGAAAGTTTAAAAATCTGAATTTTGAACTTGATGTTGACAATGATAGGCCCAAGTGGAATTAGCTGAACTTATTCAATAAACATAAAAAAACTCATGCAGACTCTTATAAAATAATAAATATTAAATAAATATTTTATTGAAACTCACCTCTGTATAATAATATAATTATGTTCACTGTCATAAACATGCTTTATTTTTGTTATAATTTGTCAGTGTAAACCACCTATACCAACAAACAGGCGATCTTTATCAGCGTCCAATTCCAGTAGACAAAAAATAGATTTTTGTGAGTTATAGTAAATAAAGTAATACAATCTAATTTTATCCTTATTTATCCAAATACTAGTATATGATATAATGGTGGAAGATAAATTGTCTTTATAAACAAACTTATTACTTCCTGATTATCATTTTGATAAAAAATATATTTTTTTTTAAATAAAAAATACAGTTACACTAGTATAAGGTGCGTGACAGAAATATTTTCTGTGAAAAAAAAAAAATTGAAGTTTCAACCATTTTTTTTAGTTGAAAATTAAAGTAAAATGACCAAACTTTGAAAATAGCTTTGTGTGCGTGTGTTTTTATACTTGTAAACTTATTAAAATTATCAAAATGACTTTTCAATATTAAACCATATTGTGTCATTTTAAGATTTGAAGGGTAAAAAAAAAAGAAGAAGAAATATATAATTTTGTTTATGGCTATTGAGATAACCCTTTCAATACTTAAACAAATGTCACGTTCTTTTATAATTTTGGTTTTTATATTAAATTTTCAGACCCCTAGTCAGAATTAAAACTTAAACTAACATTTATTTTGTAAAAAGTGTATAGTCTTCACTTGTTATATAAGTACATACTGTATACATATAAATTAACATATCTTATGCATGCTGTAGGTTATAACAAGGAGATATTAATCAGGTAATTATCTTCTTACCTTGCTTATATATACATACATATATACTTCTTGCTGCAGGATTGGTCTTCTTGTTTATATAGGAAACTAGCTGGCATGATTAATGTCAAACCTTTACAATGCTGAATCAAAAGCTGCATAACATTTGCCATTATTATAAAGTCAGGCCATAAGTAGCGGCATGGCTGAGTGGCTAACTTCTCAGAATAGTAATATAAGGATCTTTAACCACGTGGGTTCAGACCTCATTAGGAGTAAGCCATTGCCTTGAACATTATTATGCTTTTGTGGTAGGAGAGTTTTCCCTGCTATTTTCTGTGCCAGTTAAGTGTATATGAAGTCTTGTAATGTTTGAAGCATGTATAAGATTAGAGCTTTATTCTGCTGTGCTTATATATCTGTAGATGTGCACCCTATTGCTTATATGTCAATAAGACAGAGTTTTTGATAAAAATTGTTAGCATATCAGTCAGCTAAAATGATTTTGTTTTCCACTTAGTTTGATAACAGTAGGTCAAGTCATGGTTTACTTGCTATGTGCAGAGGTTTTACTATAAGAAAAATATTAAAAAAGAAAAATAATTTGAGATGTGAAATGACTTAATAGATTGGTTGTGCAATTGCAGCAGCCAGTGACAGTCTTGTACATGTATTATGCGTGGCTTTATTGTTATATATCTATATAATACTCATAAACATTTTAATTGTAAATTACACTTTGACAAATTTCTAATTGGCCACCTACTTTTTAGCTCACCTGACCACGAAGTGGTCAAGGTAAGGTATAGTGATGGGGCTATGTCCGGTGTCCGTCGTTGTGCGTTGTTCGTCGTCAACAATTGGGTTGTTAACAGTCTAGCAGTCACAGTTTTGATTGGATCATTGTCAAACTTTGTCAGAATGTTTGTCTCAATGAAATACAGATCAAGTTCGAAGATGGGTCATCTCCGATCAAAAACTAGGTCACAGAAGCTAAAAATAGAAAAAGCTTGTTAACACTCTAGTGGCTGCAGTTTTGATCCAAATATTCTGGAAATATGTCAGGAAGGTTGTTTTGATTATTTCTAGGTCAAGTTCGAAGATGGGTTATCTCCGGTCAAAAACTAGGTCACAGGAGCTAAAAATAGATAAAGCTTGTAACAGTTTTTATCAAAATATTCTGGAAATTTGTCAGGAAGGTTGTTTTGATGATTTTAAGCTCGACTAATCGATAAGAATAAGTAGAGCTATTGCAGTCACCCGAGCTTCGGCGTCCGCGTCGGCGTAACCACTTATGTTAAAGTTTTTGTAATAGTTCAAATATTTTCAAAGTCCATAGACATATGGCTTTGAAACTTTGCACACTTGTTCACCATCATGACCCCAACCTGTAGACAAGAGGAGGTAACTCTATCAAGCATTTTGACAGAATTATGCCCCTTTTTCGACTTAGAATTTACGTTAAAGTTTTTGTAATAGTTCAAATATTTTCAAAGTCCATTGACATATGGCTTTGAAACTTTGCACACTTGTTCAACATCATGACCCCAACCTGTAAACAGGAGGAGGTAACTCTATCAAGCATTTTGACAGAATTATGCCCCTTTTTCTACTTAGAATTTACGTTAAAGTTTTTGTAATAGTTCAAATATTTTCAAAGTCCATTGGCATATGGCTTTGAAACTTTGCACACTTGTTCACCATCATGACCCCAATCTGTAAACAGGAGGAGGTAACTGTATCAATCATTTTTTATAACTATCAAGCACTAAGAATAGTCGAGCGTTGCTGTCCTACCGACAGCTCTTGTTAGGTTAAGTTTGAAGATGGGTCATCTCCTGTCAAAAACTAGGTCACAGGAGCTAAAAATAGAAAAAGCTTGTTAACACTCTAGTGGCTGCAGTTTTGATCCAGATATTCTGGAAATTTGTCAGGAAGGTTGTTTTGATGATTTCTAGATCAAGTTCAAAGATGGGTCATCTCCGGTCAAAAACTAGGTCACAGGAGCTAAAAATAGAAAAAGCTTGTTAACACTCTAGTGGCTGCAGTTTTGATCCAAATATTCTGGAAATTTGTCAGGAAGGTTGTTTTGATAATTTCTAGGTCAAGTTCGAAGATGGGTTATCTCCGGTCAAAAACTAGGTCACAGGAGCTAAAAATAGATAAATCTTGTTAACACTCTACTGGCTGCAGTTTTGATTTAAATATTCTGGAAAATTGTCAGGAAGGTAGTTTTGATGATTTTTAGATCAAGTTCGAAGATGGGTCATCTCCGGTCCAAAACTAGGTCACAGGAGCTAAAAATAGAAAAAGCTTTATAACACTGTAGTGGCTGCAGTTTTGATCCAAATATCCTGGAAATTTGTCAGAAAGGTTGTTTTGATAATTTCTAGGTCAAGTTTGAATATGGGTCGTCTCCAGTCAAAAATTAGGTCACATTGCCCAAATATGGAAAACCTTTTTAACACACTATAGTTCACACTTTTGACTCAATTATCATCAAACTTGGCCAGGATGCTTGTCTAAGACATTGCTTGGATGCGGTTGATGGGTCAGGGGAGCGATCCAGGGCCATCATGGCCCTCTTGTTATCATATACATTGTACAAGAAATACTTGAAAAAAGAAGATTAAATGTACACTTAATATTATTTATAACTATTATTATTTATTTGTATTAAACAAATCTTCATAGAAATTTATTAAAAGTACTAACATAACAAAAAGGTTTAACATATTCATCATGAAATGACACCCACCACATAGATATGGAAAAGAGCTATACTGGAATCACTTTGTAATGTTGGTAGATGAGTCCGTCTTTTTCCACAGTGTCCGGTGTATCAAGGATTTTCTTTCAACTTTGCTAAAATATTTACCTCAACAAGGCGATGTGCAAAACCAATGCCACCTTTGTGCCAGTTCAAGGTCACTGTTACACTTGAAGGTCAAATATCGGACAACCAATCAACAGACAATTTCAAAGGATTGTGCAGAATCCATGCCGCCCAGGTGTCACCTTTGAAAGTCAAATGATAGGCAATTTTGTGTCTGCTCTATAAATCTTATACCCCTTGTAATTGCTTCAAATTTATCTGCAAAAATATAAATATCAACAATCATAAAATCCTGTGTCAATGGAATAGTTGGGGTATTCATCCCTCCTTTGACAAAGCTCTAGTATTGATTCTTCAGGTTTAGCAGTATTAACTTGTATTTAATTTTTCAGATTGGAAGTCTGGACCTGATGGATGATTCTTCACCAAGTGCTATGAGGGTATCACATCTACATATTTTACTGATTTAATTTGCTTGGTTTAAAATCACAGTAATACATACAAGTATACAGTCAGTTATAACTGGAAAGTATGCTTTTAGAACTCCTTTTTCATGCTGACATATGTATTGTTTTATTTTGTTGTTTGAAGTGAATGTATGATATAGGCTAAGATTACACTGAGATCACACAGTTTTACACTGGATAGTATTTATAGGGAAAAAATCAGATATTAGTAACACTAAGATGTTCCATGTTACAAAAATACAAAATTTTCCCCATATGTTATTCTTATTTGATTTGTGAATAACAAAGTGTCCTTCCTCATTAATTAACAATTAATGAATGATATAAATTATATATGTACATGTATTTCGCTGAGATTCACCAAAGTTTTTTTTATTAGAAATGGTTTATCTGAAATATTCTCAAATATTTGTGTTGCAGCCAAAGAGACAGTTAGTTACAAATACACCAAACATGCCAAAGAAGAAGGCCTCCATGTGGTCACCAGTACAGAAGAAGAAACCTCATGATTTAATAGATCAAGCTATAATGTGTACAAAAAACTTACGTAAATAAACATAATAATCAGCTGATAGTTACCCAATTAATAGTTGGAAAAAGATAATGATGCATGTTTTATATTTATATAGCATTCTTTTTCCTATAAACTCAATGTATACCCTGAATTAAACAATTTACCTTGATAATACACTTTGAGCCCCTCTAATGCTTTGGACAAAAACAACAACAACAACATTGCTTGAATGTAATTAAGATTAAAAATGGATTGTTTTGTGAAAAATTGAAATTGGTTCATTTAGGGGTGCACATTATAAGTTTAAATATTTAATTTTTGTATTTTTACATTTTACTCAATGAATGAACAGTGCTTTTTGTGTTGCAGTAAAATCTGTGATAGGATGTTTACTGTGTTTGATTTGTATGATAATGAATTGTATAGACAAAAATATTTGTGTAATATGTTGATAAATGTAAGCAATATAACTTGAGAAATTATTCATACTATAAGTATTGTATTTTATTGTATTATATCATTTTGATACAGTCTTTTTCAACTGAAGGAAGTATGTACACCTGGATTGTATCATTTCCAACGGGTACATAATGTTTTATTCTCACTTGCCCTAATACATTCTTTATACAATCAACTCAAATGATACAGTCTATCAGACTAGCACACTTGTGTAATATTCCCTGTAGATCAGTCACAATAAATATATAAATGGTTTGTCACAGAACTGCGTTGACTTGATATTTAAACTTGTCAAGTTACTAAGTTTTGTAAATTATAAATGATATTAAACAAAAAAAATGGTAATTTTAGTATTTTGTGACAGGAATGTGTTCTTTCAAAGAGTATGATATAAGTACTATATTTAATGCAATTTGTTAATTCATCCCGAGTGAAAATATTTAAGTATGTTATCCTATATTTGCTACATTATTTTGTTGAATGCTTTAGGTGCTATTTTCTACTTCCTATGGAAATGTTACATTTGCATGTTTTTGTGCAAAGTTAGTGCTTATAATAAATTTGAACAAATATAAAACCTGTTTGATGAAAACAAGAGAAATGTCGTTTCTGTGGATTTTATTTTTACTTTTTGATGGGTGAATACTGTGATGGAACGTCTGTATGCACTTTATGTTATCCCTGTTTGATTAATAACTGGTTTATATAACTTGGTATGTACATTTCCGAATGGTTAAAGTTGTTGACTTCAAATCACTTGCAGCTGTATGTTGGAATTTGGATTCCTTCATGTGAGGAAGCTATCCATCTGCTAGATGAATAATTGGTGATTCTACTCATGACACTACATATGAAATCCTGCCCTAATTAATATACATGTAGTTTCTTCAGTCATTGGTTTGTGAGACTTGTTACAGGCATAAGTATGTTATATGCCACTGAGAAAGGCAAACCAAGTGGGGGCATAAGTGTATTATGGAAACATTTCTAGTTTCCAATCTGTTTTTTGTAATAGCAATGCCTTTTTGGCATCTTTGGTTATTCTTCAAGTGGGTTCCATGCAGGTAAATCTCTTCAAAAATAACAAAACAAAATAATAATATTGCAACACATTTTTTGTCAAGTTATTTCCCTTTATTACATTTCTAAATACAATAGTTGTTTGCCCATTTTCGTTATTAATAAAACATAAATTTTCTTCTCAACTTTATTAATATTCACTTTATTTCCTCATTTAGTGCGCTAACTTTTTTCATTGAATTTGTGTACTACTAGTATAATTTATGTATTTTGTGTATTTAATATTGAAATGCTAGAACATATTTTGTCACAAATACATTGATTATGTAATAATAGATGATGTAAAAAATGTAATTTTATAAGCACTTGTAAAGGACTATTAAAAAAGTAATATATATTTATGATTTTGTGAAAATGTTCTCTATCTTTGTCAGTCTAGCTGTAAAATGAAATACATGTGTGGAGAGATTCAGACAATTGATTATCTCATCAATGACATAATTTCTTCAATAAATTCATTAAATTAAAGTGGCCATGTTAAACAGTTAAGATTATAATATAATCAAAGCATGTTAGAAAATTTTAAGTGCTAAGCACAAGATGTAGTTAATAACATTCTGTTTGAATTTCCTTTTATAATAGCACGCTTTTATACGAGTGTAAAACAGTAAATTAATTTGAATTTGTTTTTTGTTTTAGCCTGGATATGTAATAAATATAGCTGTTGCTAAATTACTGCAGGTTCAACACTGAATTTATTTATTTTAGCCTGGATAGGTAATATATAGAGCTGCTATTAAATTTGTGTAAGTTCCACATTATAATTTATTAAACTTCCGGAATAAAATTAAATTATAATATGCAATTGTCTGGATATTGAGAGGTGGCAAGTCACTGTATAATTTCGTCATATTTTGTTGATCCCAGTTGATACCAATTGATTATATAATTATATTGTATGATATGTGTATTAATTCTGGAGTGCTGTGTCAAATAAAATTAGAACTTAACTGAGTACTGTTTTCTATATTAACACATACTGTGCTTAAGGGTATTCCAAAAATCTTTTAGATACAAAATTATAATTTTGCCATGCCTATACACTTTAAAAGTTGCTTATGATGGTAGAAAGATTTTAATAACATGACATACCAGACTGCTAACCATTGGACTTCATCAAAACTATCTGAGAGGGTATTGCCAGGGATGCTAGACACTAGAGTTGTAGACTACAGTTTTAGCCAGTTTATTGTTGAACATTTTTAGAGTACATGTCAGTTAGGAGGTAATATTGGTAACATGTAAGTATTTTGTCTTAGCTTTGTATCAGAAAATCTAGGGGTTCCTATTAAAATTTATAGGAGACAAGGCTGTTTCCAATATTTTTCTAGTTCTTATATTTATCTTTCTGGAATGCCAGACGTTTCACTCCCAAGACATTTCACTATTGAGATGTTTCACTCCCAAGAGGGTTCACACCTAGATGTTTCAGTCCCAAATTGTCGATTGTATAGATGTTTCACTCCCATTTTTATGCTTCCCGAAGGGTGAGCATATAGTCGCCGCTTTGTCCGTCCATCCGCTATCATTGTCCGAGACATAACTTTGAAACAACCAGAGGTATCAACATGAAACTTTGTAGGTAGATAGATCTTATTGAGTAAGTGCAGTGCAAAAGAACCATAACTCTGTCTTGCCTAATTTTGGAGATATTGCCCTTAGTTCATTTTTACACTTTGAACTTTGTCTGCAACATAACTCTAAAACTGTAAGAGAAATCAACATGAAACTTTGTAGGCAGATAGATGTCAATGGGTAGAAGTGCAGTGCAAAAGAACCATAACTATGTCTGGCCTAATTTTGGAGTCCTTGTCCTTTGTTCATTTTTACACTTTGAACTTTCTCCGGGACATAACTAAAACTATAAGAGATATCATTATGAAACTTTGTAGGCTTTGCTTGTTTGTTTGGTTCACTTTACGCCTTTTCCCAACAGTATTTCAGTCATATTGGCGGGTAGTTTCCTAAACATCGTTCCTGGAGAGTTACACCAGTACTAGACTACCTTCCTCCGCGTTAAACTACCAAAGCATCTCTCGGGGATCGAAACCACGCCAGAGAACTTTGTAGATTAAACAGGAGTACATACTCTCCTGCGCATCGGTCGAATGTTCCACTACCGCTCACTGTCTGAAGTAACGTGAGTGTATTAAGTGAGCTGCGAACGAAGCGTAGTACACGTCATACATTGTATATGTAATAATTTTACATTATCTTCGGACAAATATAAATAAAGAGTCAAAAAGGAATTTTTAATTCATAAAAATATCTTACTTTGGGTTTCCCAGCGACACTGGTTACTTCTTTTCAATTGATGCTTTCATAGAATATTATACAATAGGTTTTGTTTCGTCATCGAAATGTCATTAACTATAAGGGGTTTGATGCGCACCATCGTGCTCAAAAAGATCACGGGGTTTTAAGACTTTTTTCTGGATATTTGATATAGCAATCCCCATTACTAATAATGTATGCACAATTTTGTATGCCACTATCAATACATTTTCTTACTTCTTCTGCCAAAAGAACATCAATCACATATCTTTAAGACTGACGCCGCAGACGAAATCTGAGACTAAATGTATAAAGGGCTTGGCTTTATCTTACGTAAACGTAGGAAAGTTAATATCTGTCTACGCTGTGAAAATAGTTTCATCATCATCATCATCATCATCATCAACAGCAGCAGCAGCAGCAGCAGCAGTAACTTGCTGATGAAGAAGAACCAAAATTCCCACCACAATGAACATGCAAATATTCAGATGGATGAAGGCTCTCTGGCATGGAATGCACATGCCACACAAAACTTCACACATAAGTGCACATGCCACATTAAAGGAAATTAATGAAAAGTGCCTTCATTCAGGGAACAGCCAGCAAACACACATAAAACTTCACACATAAGTGGATATCAAAATTGAGAATCGGTAAAAATGCTCCAGATGTGCCCTAAAAATCGACATGGGAAGGAGAAAATTGGCCAATCACATGGTAAGTTTTCAACTTTTTATACATTTATATAAAATTCAAACCTTTTTAAAAGAAAATCGAAATGTAATTCTACCCTTCTGACTTTCCTCTATAATTACCCATTTTTGTCCAGGATTTTATGCAGTTTTCGGCGAGATATTCGTTCCGTCGTGGGTTCAAACTATGCTTAACATTCAAACAAACCTTTATCAAATGTTTATTGAGATTTGGCTCAATATAAAGGACTTGCCGGTCAAAATTCCACCTGAGCTCCACATGTACTGAAGAGATCCATAGGTGCATGATAAAAAATCATCAACATAATAAACGAATCACTTCTTTAAAGTATGGAAGCCTTGGAGGGTCACTTTTGAGTTTCGACTTATAGATTTATTTTTCTATTTTCTTATGACTTTTGATTTATGACTTTTGATTTATGACTTTTGATTTATGACTTTTGATTTTTGACTTATGGATTTTGTTACTGTCCCACGTGCTTGCCTCATTATTTCCAAGGAAAATACGGCAGAATATGACAACGATTCAGACGAGGTAAGTTCATTTACCTAAGTTTCTTGGATACTTATTTAAAAACAAAATATGTGGGTACATATGCAAGGACAGATGTTATTCTTATATAAGCCTTTTTAATTGATTAAGAAAAGAAAATATTTTGCTTGCATTGCATTGCATTTGGTATCGATTTTTTATTTTGATTTCCGGAACAGGGATATATAATCTCAAATTGACATACAGCGTATGAATCAAACGCTTTATTTTTTATGTAGGTTCCAGTTTTAAATCCAAATCAGTCTCACATTGTTGTTTGCTGCAGTTTCAATCGGTTTCCACCCGTAGTTCATTCTTCGTCCATCTTATATTGAATAGAGACCAAATTATAGGCCTTATTTTGACAAAGAAATTTGTAATTAAGAAGTTTCATGAAACATGGTATTTCAAAAATAATAAATCATACAGCTTTGAAACTTCACACACTTCAGACACTTAAGTAATAAATCTCTGAATTGCATTGTTATCAAAGTATGCCTCTTTTTCGACTTTGAATTTGTTGTTTCATGAAAAATGGTTTCGCAAAAACTATTTTAGCGATTCCTTTGAAACTTAGAACACATTTTAAGTGTTGACCAAGTTTCGTATGAGTGGCTCACAATTTGACATACTTATGCCCATTTTTAAAGCTAAAATGTTTTGTCAGAAAGTTTATGAAATACGGTCCCATTAACCAGTTATGATATAATATTGAAACTTTATTATTCACTTGTTCAATATCAATAACTTAGGACACCTACCAAGTACAAAGTACATGTTATTTGTATATAAACTTTTGAATACAGTTATGTATTAAGGGATGTTTTGTATTTCATTTTGTATATATAGGTATTTCATTTCAATTGAGATAACACATACTTTTAATTTTTCAATTTAAATTCTAGTAAAGCTACCTGTAGGGATTAAGGACGTGCTGTCGAATGGTTTCAACTACAAAGCAGTTGCAAGAGCATCAGCAATACATATTTGTCAAGTTTTCGGAGCCAGTTTAGAAGACTAAGAGGTTTCATTGCAACACAGCG